CAACTACGGCTCAGGTCGAAAACGTAATACATATCAATCCAGCGACTATTCAGTAAAAAAATATTTACCTTATATGTATTCACGTTTGTTCGGTATTTTCTATCTATAAGTTCTACTTATACATGTATATGTAATAAGCGAAAAGTTAAAAACAAAGTGAAAAATAAAATCGTTAAGAGTATAAGGTAAAAGGTGTAAGGTGTGAAAGTGTAAAGTAAAAGTGTAAGGTGTGTAAAAAAATAAACAATAGCAATACGCGAAGTAATTCTATATATACCGGTTTTAGGGGATGGCTAAAGCAAGGTGCGTTAAAATTACTTTTTTGATGCAGTTAAGGATACTTTTTTGATGCAGTAAAGGTTAATGGTTTATATAAATATCAAGAATACAATTTATGCAGCATGTAGATCATTTCAAGTTTATACTAAACCAGATCCAAAAAGGCAATTAAAGAACGCAGTCGGCGTTTATCACACGTGCGCAAAAAAATACGAGAAAAAAAATGAATTATTTCGCCAAATTGAATATGATTATTCAAGATATATATATGAAACTAACTTCCGCGCATACAAATATTTATTCTATAAAATTAACTTCTATATGCCGATATAGCTATCTCTGTTCAATAAAACAATCATTTGTCATTTTGATCACTTCAAATCATTTAACATCTTGCTTTAAGAGTCCATTATATATAAAGTTGACTATTAAAATCAAATTGAACGTTTTCATTTATATTGGTAGAAATTTTAAACATAAGTTACAGGGTCTCTAGTGTCCATTTCTTCTAAGATTTTTTTATACATTTTTTTGTCCGACTTAGCTATTGCAATACCTATCCATCGTGAAATAACATCAAAGACGTATTTTTCCATAAATAACGAAATAAAAAAGTCTGCTATTACAATAGCTAGTAGATACCATCTAAAAATATTGTCAATGTTCTCTAGTTCTAATAAGTTTGTAATAAGGTTTGATGGTGATATAAGGACTGCTGCCGTAATGAAAGTAAAAAACGTCGTCGTGATTATAAATGGAACTATTGCATAAAAAGTAATTAAATTATATGAATTTTCGAAATTCATGTATCAAAGATTCAAGTATGTAATTTACTGTACCATTCGTAATCATCGGTTTTCTATATGGTGGTCCAACACTAAACACCGCTGCGATAATAATGTATTGAAAGCATGATAATAAAAATAATATCGAATTGTCAAAATTTTTTATATATGTTTCATCCGGGTTAAAGTCTGGTTTTTGATACCTGTAATCAATTTAAATGTATAATAAGCTAGCTCGAGAAAAGAAATGCTATTTGATATATACATATATTATTTACCATGGCTGATTGTGTGTAATTATAAGAACTAAGAATTGAATTCCTGATTGGATTATAATTTGTCCAATCACTGACGTTAGCACTTTTTTGGAGATCAAGCTTGCGGTTGGACGTTTGGGATGTATGCGTGGGAATGGTTCCGTGCGTCCCACTAGATAACATTTATTCAATCAGCAAAAAAAAAATAAAAAAATCTATAGATAAAAATTTATAGATAAAAATTGTAAATGGTCCTTACTTAGAATTGCGATAGGCAATATTAGGAATAAATCTATATAAAGAAACTAATAACCAAAATAATGTAAGCAAGGAATAATTTATCTATCGTCCTTATAGATTTGTATAAATCAGTTCTCACCTGAAGGTTTCCCAAATTAGACCCATAATAATACAATATACTAACTGATGTGAATTGAATCATGCTATATAGTGCCATGTATTTAAAGCAACTGAAACTCGTGACTAGGGCTGCTCGACCTTCTCTAATGAAATATTTAATTATAAAGCAAGAAAAGAATGTCTTTTAAGAAAAAGATTCACAAAAAAAAAAAAAAAAGAATTTTTAATAAGTCATCATACTTAATAACTTCGATAACACAGCCGATATCCATATTACGACTCGTAAATGGAGCCGCAACAGAAGCTTCTGCATCAGAAAGTGACAATCCAACGTCTGCCGCTTTAAGTGCTCCACAATCGTTGGCACCATCACCACAAAAGCCAACACAATATCCTATTTCTTGTAGTTTTTCTACTAATTCGTGTTTCTCGTCTGGCGACATACGTGCAAAAATTTGGCCTTTCACAAGCATCTACAGAACATTTGAAATATGCTCAAAAATAATATTTTATTTTATGCTGGCTATTCATAATTATATAGAATAAATACCCGAGTAAATGTCATTTCATCTCCATAATCTATAATCCAACGGAAAACATCGCCAGTCACTGCAAGGTCGTATTCATAAGGACTAATAAACGGATATTCGCTAGGATAATCCTGTGATATAGAAATAATTTGCTATTATAATAAAAAACCATAATTCAATTACTGTAAAATTATTTTATCAATTTAATTTTTATCCAGTAAAAATAAATACTTTTAATGTCGTTGAATCCAGTGAATCTTTTGGGTTATCCAAACTCTCCCATGAAATAGATGCTCGTGAGCTTAAAGACGATCCTTGAACGAATCTTGGTACATAAACTTTTGATGCCTTATTGACCAATCCACATTCACGAGAAACACTTATTGCAGTCAAGACATTATCACCTGAATGATTTATGAATAAAATATTATATATCAGACTAGCTACCAAAAATTACCAATTGATAAATGATGAAAGTAATATTCACCAGTGCACATTATCTGCCGTATTTTGGCACTTTTGAGAGTTTCAACAACTGAGGCCGTACCAGGCTTCAATTTATTCTCGAATACTATAATGCCTATAAACTCTAAGTCTTGTTCTACCTGTTCTCTTTATAATATACATAGAAAACAAAAAAAAAAAGATATAAATTACTAGCATTTACAAACTAATGATCGATAAACCAATCTAACCTTTTGATCTTCTGAGCCTTCATCCAACTGAGATCAGTGAAACTCCTAGAAGCGCATGCAATTACGCGAAATCCATTATGTGTATAATAATGTAATAATTCATCATAGTCCTCCGGAACTGGATGACAGTATAATAATTAATTCATTAAATCAAAACTTTCTCTGTGCATTAATATACATCCAAATAAATGACTTACAGGAATCGGCTCGACAAATATCGCGCATCACTTCTGGTGCCCCTTTAACGTAAACTTCAATTGTTTGATTTCGCAGACGTTTTACGAGCACGCTCATACGTCGTAATGATGAAACAAATTCAAAAGTTCGAATTATTCCTAACTCAATAAATGGTGTAGGCTATAAACAGAATTAATTGATTAATCATTAATGTCATTATTAATCAAATACAACATATCAATTATCGACAAATATTTACTTTTCCATCCCCGTTTTTTCCCCCTACATTAAGTGCTTCATTTAAATCAAATTGTTTACTATTAGGTGGTCTAACCACTGTTGGTACTATGCTACCTGTTCCATTCGTAGGGCTACCTGGTCTCCCGGAAGGTGCTGATCCAGTTGACAATCTTAATGTACTGGATGAAACACCTTGTCCACTTTCTTCAAGTATCCATTTAGTAAAATCAAACATTTTTAAATCAAGTGGATCACCAATTAGTTCACCATTGACTAATTTAAGAGAATGGCACGTAGTCATGGCACACAAAATTGGTGGAATAGAATTATTAGTCTTATGACCATCACTTTTAAAGAATGTGTCGACCGTAGTATGAAGCTCCGTGAACCTATACAAAAAAATTAAAATTTTAATATCATTTTAAAAAGAAATAAGATACTTAAGAGATTCTAACCTGTGTGATGTTTGATTAATAAAACGAACACCTAAAACATCTAATCCATCTTCCGTAAGCGTGCCCGTTTTATCAAAACACATGACATTTAGCTTTCCTCCAACATTAACCCTATAATAATAAAAATAATAATAATATGTGTGAAGATATACGAGCTTATAAATTAATAAATATATTGTATAAATGCATTACCGAAGAAATTAATCACCTTGGTGGGCTAATACAAAATATTCCTGCTTTTTTTAATCTTCCAATGGCGAAATTTGTACCAATGCTCATTGTTGCAGGTAATGCAGGAGGAACCACGATAGTAATTAAATCCAACGCACGCAAAATTATTATAACAGCATTTACTCCCAATCTAATAAAATTATATGTACTAATCAAAAAGCCCATTAAAGCTAAAAAAAAAAAAAAAAAAAGGAAATAATGGCATTTTGTTAAGAACAAACCGAAGCCAAACATATAATGTACAAAAATAATTTATATCTTACCGATTATAGCCAAAACACCGATGAAACAAAATGAATCGCGATAAAATTTGAATTTATGTGGTTTTGGAAACAGCATCGCTCTAACCAAAGAGCCTTTGGTTGTATTAAATCCTACAACAAAAGTTAAAAATAAATAAATAAATTTTTATTTTAGATACTGGTCCAATTCTTTATGTAAAGATAACTTGCCTGTACGTACGACCATTGCTAAAGCTCCGTCATCATCAGATATGTTTCCAGCATCTGCACTAAATGATATAGCACCATTCTTGGCCCGACGCACTCGTACAATTTTCGTTCCGGAAAACAAAAAATGTTTGGCTACTTCCGGTCGAACATTGGTAGCAGTTAAGTCCAATATATTCAAAGATGTATCATCAATAGGCAACTTGGATACAGGGATAGATTCTCCTAAATAAAGAGTCTATTATTTAGAATTTATATAATCCGACTCTGATAATTTAATAAAACAACTATTTCCTACCAGTGAGCATGCTTTCATTTACAATGCAATCGCCTGATAATAAAACAGCATCACATGGGAAAATGTGTAAATTTCTATCAGATATTTCAAATACGTCTCCAGGTACTAAATCTTCTGATGAAACAGATCTCCCTGTTGTGAAAAAAGGTCCAAAAAATTTTTATAAGAAAAAAAAACTTGCATATTTCTAAACCTCATTAAAGCGGCGTTAGCCAATGACCTAAGTCATAACATTTTTTTTTAATATGACCTTAGTCATATAATCATATGATCTTTGACCATATATAATATTGCTCATATTAAATACCAGTAAACCAAATTTTTTATAATTTTTACTATACTACTATACTAGAAGTCACAAAGTCATACAATACTCTTATGGCCAATTGACCTATTGATGGTCATAAAGGTCATCTAATGCCATCAGCCAACACTGCATTGAAACTCCATAAAAACACTACACAGACTTACAGAGATTACCACGAAATGTCCGTACATTACAAACAATTTTTGACATTTCACGAAGTTTGTTCATAGTCTGAATTATGATTATTGATCATTAACATACAATTCACAATAATTTCAAATATAAAATATGTAATAAATTATTAACCTGCTTTATTTTTATCAGCGTAGTAATAATACTAATCACAGATATTATAAAGATACATGTAGCATAGTAGTAATACTCGTCAAGACACCAAAGTACTATTGAAAAGATTTGAAAGATATAAAACGGATGCATGGCCTTGAAATATGTTAAAGATTCATGTAAATATGTTAAGACAGTATATCTGATCTCAAATGATAATAATGTATGCCAAACCTCGTCAATTAAAAGTTGAACGGTAGATTTTTCTTTAATATCAATCAAATTTTGACCAAAGATAATTTCACGTTCGTTATGAGTCTCACGATCAATTCCCTTTTTCAACACGTCAACGGATACCCATGCAGGGTCTTTCCAAAAACTGTAATTTTAAAGAGAATGAAACATCATTCAGAAAAATAGGAAGAAAAATAGATTAAAAATGAAGAACATATTAAGTGCCTACTTATTCTGTACGAATTTTCCTGATATAGGGTTGTAAATGAATCGAATATAACGATGATCAAAAAAGTGCAAGTTATGCAAAATTTCATCTGATCGATGAGAGGCGAGCCCAGAAACGTTATTGTCATCAGAATTATCAACTGAGAAGATTGAAGATATGGTTCCGCCGTAATATTTACGGATTATATATTCGATTGAAGTGTCTCCCCATTGATTCTGTAGAAGGATGATAGATTGAGATTATTATCATATCACTAAGTAATATTGAAGGTGATAACTTGAACCAACCTTCACAACCACCAATTCTGCTTTCCCTAGCTCGCAGGCGTTGCCTACTAACCAAACCCATAATTTCGGTATCCATCGACAAATAAGATAAAAAGTTCCCCCAGTCAAAACGCATAGAATATAATATGTATAAAGACGGAATCGGTTAAATTTATAGCCTACTAAAAGAAGCTGAAATGTCCATTATAGTTTGATTAAATATATATATTTCTATAAAATGAAAAGATATCAGAATTTTCGTGTCTTGATCTTGACATACATTAAGATCTTCCTCTTCTAAATAGATACTTTGAATAGAAGTAGCCTCCAGTCCACTGTCTAGATAACGAAAGTCATTATCATTGTTGCTCATTATGTTCGTCCCGAAATTTCTACGACGACAAATATCTATATAAATTATTCTCGGTGTATATATTACCAAGCTTCAAACTGGCTTCTATAAAACCGGGTCGAACCGAGCCTTTAAGGAATCGGCTGTGTATTACAAAAAAGGCTTCCGATAAAAAGCCCAATTTGCATTTTTTCTAAGCCACCTGCAGTAATATCTATACGTATTACTGTATTAACGGGGTTATATAAGCACGTACTTTCTCAGTACGTACTACCTGTCAATTAGAACGCAGCAGGTGACTTACTGCGCATTTATTTACGAAATCTTGATGTATTTTTCAACTATAGAGAAACTTAATTCGAATAGTTCCGTGATTTTTGTCTCACATGCCACCAATGTTTCGGTAACAAATATATTGTACTAACGAGGTTAGCAGATTTTTTTGCATGTATTTTATTTATATTACAGATCGGAATATTATCCTTTAAGATATACGCCAAAGATCTTTAGAAACAGGTAAAGAATTCTTAAAATACATTAAACATGAATCCCTATGGTTGAAGAAGACAAAGAATACGAATATGACGATAGATATAATCATATTGACTGATTTTAATAAAGAAAACCAATCTTCCAGATTAGGGCGCGTCAATTATATGTAATTTCATATGTCTAATGAGGTGTGTCACTAGGAAGATTGGATTTCTTACGTATCAAAATCAGCTGATATGTAAGCCATTAGAAAAATTCAGTGCGGATAAAATAGACAAATTTATAGTGGATCTTTTTTGTAATTAATTATACTGTATACTTATACGTATTCTTTAAATATAGGTGTCCACACAAATACGATCGAAGGCACCTGGAATGGGATTAAGCTTCTAATTCCATGGATAAATCCGTTATCCATTTATCCATATCCGGATAAATTCAGACCGGATACTTGGATAACGGATTACGGATATATGGATAAACGGTTAATGGATTAGAACTCTGCTCTTAGAATGTATGAAAAACTATCTATATAGATGAAAATGAAGAGGAGTACATTTGAACTTTATATATTAGAAGCTTAAAATATTTATTCTATTCATGTTAATTATGAGTGTAAAAAAAAACATTTATTAATATTAATACGAGGCATTTACTAATCGGATTATTTAAAATATGAAATTTACCATTAAAGCTTATTTTGTTCGCATTAATACAGTAATATGGATTGTGATACGTATAAAAATATTTATTAATCTAATTATTTAAAGTAAAAAACTATTCAAGTTCATATTCACTATAAAGTTTTACTTTAATCAGTGGATGAATATAAATTATCCAAGTATTTTTTAAGCTATATATTAAAGTTCGCTATGTATGTTTAAAATAAGTCATGAATACGTACATATTTTATTATGATTAAAATATTATTTAAATAAGGTTTATAAATATTTACTATATATATATATATATTAAATTCATTTTATTTGTGTTAATATTTAAATTGTAAATACGTATAAAGAACATTTATTAATCTAATTATTTAAAATACTACATACGTATACGTACATATTTGTGTTATACAATGTACTCAAAAAGTAATTAGCCAAATTATTAAGGATGGTCAATTCGTTCATTTTCCTAATAAAACCGGTCTATTAATACCTTTCGGATCCTAAATTTTAAGCAAAAGTTATAATTAAAATATATAGTTTAATATTAATTGTAATTAATAATATGTGTTGTGTATACGTAGTTTAAAATTTTCTGTAGTTGGATTATTTAAAAAAATTAATTTGTACGTACGTACGTATTATTTGATATAATATATATTTAGTAATTGATTAATACGTTGGGTGTTCGATTGGAAATCACTAATAAAGATTTTTATAATAAAATTTTGAGATTTGCGTTCTATATCTGATATTAAATTAGTACATATAAAAAAAAAAGATTTTACTTTGCCTTTAATTTCTTCCGCGATATTTAATATTTTTTAAATTTTATAAAAGTAAGATGTTTAATTAAAAGTGTCTTTATAAAGTAATAACGTTAGAATTTTACCTAACTAATTGAAATATGTCACGGCTTACCGGAGTGTCCGTTATCAAAGGAACTAAATACCCAAATAATTAAAATATTTTATCCTTCCTTCTGAGATCGTCTTTATATATTTATCTAATTGTTAATATTCATTGTTTAAAATATCTTGTAACTGCCGAATCACAAATTCTTTTTCATCTTTTGACTAGTATATATATTTATGCTGTAACAAATGTTCTTCATTCCATTCAGGTTATGGTATATGTTGACATTTGTTATAGTATCAACATCTGGTTTTACGCGTATCTTCAGCCCTTTCGTGAACTTGAGCTTTTCGAACTTATTTAGAAACGAAGCTGGTTACTTTATCAAAAAACTCCAACGCTTTAATCTCGTCGACGACCAACCACAGTTTATAGATATTACACTTTCTGAGATGCTGGCGTCTGACAGGTATATGGTAGGTGGAGAAACATAAAATAGCACTCGATTGAGTGAATTGTCCTTCTTTTTGTGTTAGACAACGGCATCGAGTATAACATCCTTCAAAACTTTTGCTCACTAATATTGACCAGATTTTCTCTTATCGGTCTTTATTGAAATAAAAAATCAAGTGAGAAAACAAGCATATAGACAAATCTATATTTGATGATGATCGACATCAATCTAATAAACAAAAAGTACTTTTAATTCTCGTGATTTTTAAAAACTTAATTATGATTTCCGTTAAATTAATCAAAATAATCCTAATACACGTTACTCTTGATATAACGGACTCTTGATATAACGGAGACTAAGGATGTTCTCAAGCAGCACGCTAGATGTGATTAGCTAGTGATTGTGATAGTGCACAACCATTATAGTAATATTTAATTAGACCATAACCATCGTTGAAGTTCAATAGGATGAATGGTAGTATAATTGGATTATGCTCACGTATCTTCCTCAATGTGATTAGTTTATGATCGTGATGATGTTCAAGTATTACGATAAATTAAAATATTGATTGCAATTGGTGCTTGAGCAAACGTTTTTATCATTATTACCATTTCGCAATTATTATGTTTGAAATAAAAAAAATGAAAACGAAGAATTAACAAAAAAAATATAAAAACTTCATTTCAACAATTCCAAGTTTTGTTTCTTTTTCAGATTTTACTAAAGTTAACAGTAAAACAAAATGTCGAATCCAATGATTTCGGTTCCTGTTTCTTCTTTTTCAGACCTCACGAACTTTTATATGTTACTGCACAACAAAAATGTCCAACCCTTCCAAATTTGAAATTGGTGATCTGTCCAATAAAAGTGGGGGTTACTTTTTGATGCATTTATGGTTATGCAATACGTAAAGATAATACTAACGATCTAAAAGTTTTTATTTTACTAGATCGGCATGAGTCATATACATTCGATTCGTCTTATCGAGACGAAACTTGATTCATACCATTCGATTCGTCTCATCGAGACAAATCATCAAATTCAGCCCACTGAACCATGAGATATTGATTGTCCGGAACGGATCGGAGGACCTTTAATTTCTACGCATGGTGATACAAAAGTTACGGTTTTGATGGTTTCTATTTCAAACATCAAAAAAGTAATTCCGAATTTTCTGTCTGTCCACATGCGTGATCTAAAAGTATCGCAGTGATGAATTTTCTGTTCCATATTGTAGATAATAGTTGTTTGCTCCGGGTTTCCGTTTCCTAGTTATATCATCCCTTATTTCGCTTACATTTGTCTTAATAAAAATTTTATGTTTTGTACACACGTATTGTTTCTACATATTTAATCTATTCAATCAACGTATTCTTCAAGATTTCAGTAGATAAAATGAATAAAACTTGACTTATAAATTGATATTCCGTTATAATATAATATTACATTTAAAGAATATAACAGTTAGTTTACTTATCTTTTTATTCTATTTTCTGCATAAAATCTGTTTTAGGCCCGTCTTTTCTTCTCTTAGGAATTATTAGCATCTTGTACATGCTTTCCTACGTGTACATATTCGTCTAACATTAACAGGTCATGTGTCTAAGAAGTAGCCAATCAAAAGGCTAAATGTTTGACACTTTTGTCTTAGTTTTAACACCAAAATACCTTCGTTTGAACCCCATTACCTTCAAATTCTTATAGAATTTGTCTCTTATGACCCTTTTTAAATACACATCACTCTCGATATAACGTAGTACCTCAGGCACATAGTGAGGAATTTTTTAAAATCTGCTTTATCGTGAGTTTATTAGTAAATCCATTATATCAAGTAGCATTTATTATAATATGGATCTGAATCTTGATCCATTATATCAAGATTTTACTTAGGGTGTTCTCAAGCTCCTAAGTCAATCTGTCGGAATGGGTCTGAGAGTAAATTTTAATTAGTAAAAAAATAGTTTAACGAATCGATTGTACTTATTATTCCAATGAATAAAACATGCGATGG